TCTCCTTAAGTTGACCTAATTTTCATAAACAGGACAAATACCACATGTACTCAATGGAAGACTGACCTCTATCTGTTGACCAGCTGTTAAGTTGTATCTTGACTGCTTGTACTGTAGCACACAATATTTATCCTCTATAACTTGACCAGTTGAGTCCATTCTGTTCCAAGGAGTAGAAGGTGTGGGTTTTGTTCCTTATTTGTATTATTTTTTCTTTAGTATATGTTATTACCACATGTTGAATTAGGCCAGCATCATATTGTTTATCATATGTTGTGGAAGATTTTTTTCAACAGGAAGGACTGGTTTGAATTGTAAGTACACTCTACAATTACTGAAAAATTTTATAGTTAATCAAGAGATGATGGTCCTAAGGAAAGAGCTGACATTGAAGGAAAAGGCATTTTCTGGAAAGCAGCAGCCAAAGAAAGACTACTATACTTAGCAATGTTCAAAAACAAACTTGAACCTTTGGAGAAAGATGGTAAGGAAAGTGAGACCTACAGTGGAAAGGGAGGAAAACTTCCTTCGATGAAGTCAATGAAGCTGCATTAAGCTGGTTCAAACAAATGAGAGCAGTTAACGCTGAATCTCTGGTCCATGATCTAAGCAGTTGCTAAAAAATTAACATAGGACAGAAATTTTGGGTGGTAGATTTCCAAGCATCATGTGGTTGATTTTTAAAATTTAAACTGCAATACAAGATCTCCCAGAAAATCTTTGATGAATCCAGTGAAATTTCAGTAGAAATTGTGGAAGGGTTCATCAAAAAGTTCATCAGAGGCTTCTAAGATGATGACATCTTTAATGCTGACAAGTGTGGACTCTGTTTTCAAGGTGATACCTGACAGGAGCCTTTTCATGAAGGGTGGCAAATGAAAGAGTGGAAAACTTTCCAAAGAATATTTCACAGTTCTGCTTTGTGCCAGCTCACTCAGAGAGAAATTAAAGCCCTTGGTGTTTGGAAATCAGCAAAGCCATGCATATTCAAGAACCTGAAGCATGAAGACTTCCTTTGGAGAACAAATAGATGTGCATGGACGACTAGTACCCTATCTGGGGAGTGGGTAAGTGGTGTCAACTGAGAAATAAAGAAGAAATGGCTTGTTCTATTGTCCTGGGCACCTGCAAATGAATCATCTCACAACTGTGACAATGAAATTTCTGCCTCCAAACATGACCCCCAAAATTCAACCTCTGGGCTAAGGCATCATCAAAGTATTTAAAATTCACTACTGAGCCCAGCTTCTGTAGTGAGTCATTACTAAAACATAAACTGTTGTCTGCCTGTGGAAGCAACTTCATCTGCTGCGTCAGTTAATGCTCTGGATGCTGTCCCCTGGATCAGCTCTGCTTGGGATGAAGTACAGCCAGGAATGACACAGAAGTGCTTTGAGGTAGTTGGATTTGTTGCAACCCAAGAGCATGGTATTTTGGCTCCATCAGATAGTCCATCTCCCATGGCAGAATTTGAAGGAGTGGATTTTGAAGGTTTTGTTGCAGTGGATGATGAGGTGGCAACCTGTAATAAATCTGACCCAGGAACAATTTTCTAAGTGGTACTGACTGGCATAAAAGTGCGTGAAGCAGCTGACAAAGTAGAGGAAGCGAGTGAGGAAGACACAGAAATTGTAGACTCCTAAAGAAGAGGATGTCAGGCATCTAATGATGCAGTTGAAGTCATTTGGAAAAATGCCCAGCTATGCTGAGTGGTGTAGCCAGCATTGAGAGTGCTTTCTCCACTTAACTTTGTAATAAGAATAAGAAACAGACCAAGATTAATTCTTTTTTTGGAAAGAATGATTAAACCATGAGAAAAGAGTAAATGTATTGATCTTGTATGATACCATGTATATATACATATATATATATATATATGATTTTCCTGTATTTTGATTATGATTTTGTATTCTCTAATAAAAGCCATAAAAGAAAGTAAAGTACATGTACATATTGGCATAATAGGGCCACTTCCTTCTGTTGACCACCTCCATATGCTGACTGGTTTGTTACAGTTTGTTATAGTCCCTTGGGCAGTCAACTTGCAGAGGTTCTACTGCAGTTGAGATTATACTAACCACAGTAGAAGCAAATTCTTATTTAAGAAGCAAAGCTTTTCTTGCCTTGCAAGTGTACCCGGTCCCAGTAAATATTAGCTGCTAACAGTTTTATTACCCTTGTTATTAAGGGCCTCGTTACCTGATCATATCAAACAAAATGTTCAAAGATTCATAATAAATATTTTAATTATTTTTATAGTTTTTTATTGTACTTATTTTTATAATGTTCTTGCCTGAAGTAGTTGTTTGGAAAATCTGAAAATACTCAGATTGTATTTTTGTATTCTTTTTGTTACAGAACACTTCAGAGAGTCACAGTTGTGCCAGAAGTCTCTTAATGGCAGATAGAATTCAAGTAGTTGTGGTACTCTCTGAGTTTTTTAATACTACATGGAAGGAAGCAAATTGTGCAAGTAAGTAATTTCGTTTTCATGTTGCATTCATGGTTCAGTAGTATAGATGTCAGATTTATTTTAGTGAATTTTGGAATCTTTGAAGCTGGATAATATTTTTTTTATTTCCAAGTTTACACGAATAGTTATTAGCAATTTAGTTTGTAAGTGGTAACTGCTTGGGCAAATACTGAAAGACAGAAAACTGTAGTGGTTAATAATATGAGCTTTGGAGTCAGGCGGACATGGGTTTGATTCTAAACTCTACCTCTTTGACTTACTGGCCCTAACTTAGTAGCTCTCAGACTTTAGACAAGTAATTTTTGCTCTTGGAACTTCAGTTTCCTCATCTGTAAATTGGTGGTAATAATAGAACCTACTTAAATAGTTGCTTTGAGAATTAAGTGAAATAAATTGTATGAAGCACTTAGCTCAATACCTGACATACAGTTAATGTTTAAGAAATGTCAACTGTTTAGGGGCTAGGCATGGTGGCTCGCGCCTGTAATCCTGTCACTCTGGGAGGCCAAGGCAGGTGGATTGCCTGAGCTCATAGGTTCCAGACCAGCCTGAGCCAG